AGAGAGAGAGAGAGAGAGAGAGAGAGAGAGAGAAAGAGAGGAAATGGGATGGTTCCCATGTTCAGGGCCACCAAAGCGTAAATCGAGAAAGAAGAACGAGCACTCTGAAACTACGGAGTCCATTATTTCTGGCATGTTCTTCGCTATTCCCCTTTCAATCTAACCTAATTTGTGTGTTCTGTGTAAAGATTGGATTTTTATGTTCTTGAAAAAAAAAATTAAGGGTTTGCGCTGAAACTTGTCAACTTAGTGTAATTTTGTGGATGGCCCTGTGTTGATAACTTCTTTTAGTATTGCTGTGAGTGAAATAATGGTTAAGAGGGTTTAATGGGTTTGGGTCAAATCTTTGTCTTGATCGACATTGGTGGAGTCTTGATTTCTTATGCTTTTTTGGTTGGGGTTTTTAGTTTGTGCCAGGATAATCTGAAGTGTGAGTTGATGGGCCATGAGTGATTTTGCTCGGATTATAGCTCAACTTTTCGATTTTCGGTTCAGTTTTTCCGCTTTTCGAATATGAGAATCCTTGAGGAAGTTCTTAATTCTATTTGACTAGTTGTGATCTCTACTAATCTTGTTCATTCAAAAGGTGAAGTTTTTGAAGTGGGCTCGGGATGTTAAAGTTTAGATCTTTGTGTTCTGGTTTACGTGTTGAGTATAAATGCGTGATTTTTAATGATCAATTAGTCCACTTACAGAAAGAGTTGTTACAACCTTAAGATCTTTGTGTTGTGCTTCAAGTGCCATTGCAAGTAATTAATTCCTTCTCGACTGGGAATAATCGTTCGGTGAACTTTGTTTTGGCTGACCTCTGAAGTACTTGTGTAATTGTATTTGCATCTCGAGCTACAAAAATACAATAATACAATGCCGTTTTATTTGTCATTTGATTTTTCTTCATTTAACCAGTAAATATCATCTCCGAGCTCCATCTGCTGTCTTTGCTTTTTTTAATATTTGATGATTTTTACACATATGTAACATTTTCATGTTGAAATGGAGTTTGCCCTGATATTTGCAGATCATTACTGTTTTAGCAGATTTTCTGACCTTTTCCTAACCCATTACGTACTTAGATAGTATCTTTTCTTTTAAATAAAAAAAAAAAACTATATGGGCGTTAACGATTTGATCAACATTAATTGGTAGGAGAACTTAATATGATGAAGCTTTAGTATACACAACGCCTGGTATGGAATAAAACCAGTCAATACTTTTTATGTAAAACATTTTTCTCTGTATTGCATAGTTTTCTACTATTGATTCGTAAAACCCTCATTCTCGTGCACCACCTTTCTTGATGCATGCTTAATATCACTCTTAATATTTTCATGTCCAGATAAATCTAAAGATGGCTCCAAAGATGGATCGTCCAATAAAATAGCAGCCAGGACTTTCCATTTCCGCGAAATGGCTGCTGCTACTAGAAACTTCCGGAATGAGTGTCTTTTAGGCGAGGGAGGTTTTGGCAGAGTGTATAAAGGACAGCTGGAGGGCTCCAGCCAAGTATGTTACATTTTTGGTTTTCTTGAATTATTTTTGAAATATTCTTGGTTGATCTTGAGTTGAAAGAAATGATTAATTAAACATAATATTTGCAGATTGTTGCAATCAAGCAACTCGACCGGAATGGATTGCAAGGAAATCGAGAATTTCTTGTTGAAGTTTTGATGCTGAGTCTGCTGCACCACCCGAATCTTGTTAATCTAATAGGATATTGTGCTGATGGAGATCAAAGGCTTTTAGTTTACGAATATATGTCGATGGGGTCTTTGGCCGATCACCTTTACGGTATGTTGCTTAACCCACGAGCATTTGTTCAGAGCTTTGAGCTTTTTATAATTTTCGGGAGAATTAAAATAAAATAAAAACGATACTGTCGTTTGGCCAATTGACTGAATAGGCTCAGCTCACTTTGAACATCACAGAAACAATCTCTTCTTCTTTCTTCTCACTCATAAAACCTCAGGTGCAGTTTTGGTTATTTATCCCTGTAATTTTTATCCTGATATTGATTTTGTTGTGGCAAATTTGATGGCTCTTTAGAGATTGTCAATCTCTTCTTCTTTCTTCTCCCTCATAAATATTTGAAACTTTTAGATGTGTTCAGTTCGTATTCCCCAATTTTGACGTTTACCCCATTATTACTCCTTTGATTACTAGAATTACAGTCCAGATACCTCAAATAAAATTGCTCACTTTATACCTAAACTGGATTTATTAATTTCGCCAACTTTATACAATAAATTCATTAATTGATTTCTAGGGGTGGAATTTTTAAAATTTTCAAAAAAGATTACCAAGTTTAGTAATTTTAAAATTTTTAGGTTGAATTTTAGTTTCTATTTCAAGTAAATACAAACATTTTTTTATCCTGATAATGATTTTGTTCATGACATTGATTTTGTTCTTTAGATCTTGAGCCCGGCAAGAAAGGGCTCGACTGGAACACGAGGATGAAAATTGCTGCAGGGGCCGCGAAAGGGCTTGAGTATTTACACGATAAGGCTAGTCCGCCTGTTATTTACCGTGACCTAAAATGTTCGAATATTCTGCTCGGTGAGGATTATCATCCGAAGCTATCCGATTTTGGCTTGGCTAAACTGGGGCCAGTTGGGGATAACACGCACGTATCGACTAGAGTAATGGGCACCTATGGATACTGCGCGCCAGAGTATGCAATGACGGGGCAACTTACTCTTAAATCGGATGTTTACAGCTTTGGGGTTGTTCTTCTCGAGATAATCTCGGGCAGGAAGGCAGTTGATACTTCGAAAAAAGGCGGGGAACACAATCTTGTCCTATGGGTAAGTAAGAGACTAAGAGTGTGTTTGTTTATAAATTTTTCTAATTCATACTCAAAATGTGACACAACTTTAACTCAACTCCACTGTCCTAAATATATATAATTATTAAATAATGTTAATCGATCATTCTTATACATTATATCAACTTTAATTCACCTGACAATCACTTCACATTATGTCTCTCATACTTTTAAATCAGATTAACTTTAATTATTTTATTATAAATATTATTTTAATATATACTCAAAAATCCCACTAACAATTAACCATACCAGATTTTTCGAAATTAACATTGGTTTAACCAGAAAAAGACTCATCTTGAGCGGATATATTTGTGTCCAAGCACGCCCTAAATTGTCTCTCATATGGTTAGCTACAGAAAAAGGGAAAATTACAATTTGGTTGTCTCACAATTTTCCACAAATTTGTGTCCTTTTATTTGGCCTTAGAAGGTATCTACAGGAATAATTTAACAACTTAGAAAGTCTTGGAGAAGTACATGTGCATCAACTTATGAATCATTGCATTATTCTATTTGTAGCTGAATATAGTTTCAGCAACTCATTACACATTTATGTTTTGTTTCTTTCCTGGCCCTTTTCTTTTATCTTGTTTAAAACTTCTTAATTCGTCCGTTTTTTTATCCTTCCAACTTTAATCAGGCAAGACCATTATTTAAAGACAAGACGAAATTCTCTCAAATAGCTGACCCGGCGCTAGAAGGAAATTACCCGCCAAAGGGCCTATTCCAAGCCCTTGGTATAGCCGCAATGTGTGTCCAGGATCAGCCCAACTTGCGGCCCGCAATGGCTGATGTTGTTACTGCCCTAACATATTTATCGGTACAAAATTACGACCCAGAAGAGGAGCCCACTCAGAGCCCAAGCACAAGACTCGGGACCCCGCCTAGGATGAAAGGGGATTTCGACAAATCAAGGAATAGTAATGCAGGATCTGAAAGAGAACAGACCAAAAGACTGTATTGATGATCGAAGGATATATATGAAGTTTTTTTCTTTTTCGTTTTTGCGTAATTTTTTCTCGCGATAGTTTTGCTTTTGATGCATGAACTTCGTTTTTTGTGGGCGTATTGTTTTTCGAGGTTTATGTTTCCGAAGAACTCGGTGGTGAAAAGATATGAATCAATAGTCTTGTACAGGTTATAGAGAATGAGTGTAGCTATGATGGGTTGTCTGTCTGATATGAACAGCAAAGCAGGAGTTTGTTATGGCTTGTGAGTGAGTTCATGCTTACATTTATGATTTATAGATATGCTCCTGTGGTAGATGGTTTTTTTCTTTTTTTTTTTACACATTATTTCCACCGCAAATCATGACAGGTCACTGTTTTGACCCGTAATATTTTGCGAACTATTATACATGCTTATACTATCAAATGTTATATTGTTGTAGTCCAAATAAATATATAACAAAGATACTTGATAAATAACAAAGTTGCAGCACACACATTACAAGCTACATTATTGCCAAACACATCCCAGAATTTTATTCAGAATCTATTACATAAAGCGCGAATATACATCATTATAACAACATGACAAGGATGACATATAGCGCCAATAAGCTCATAGAGTAGCATCAACATACAACTTCAAGCCTACGGAGAAAAGACACGACAAAATTAGCATGTTTCCTAATAAGTAGCGTTGGGAGAGAAAAAAACGAGATGAAAAAACGAACATCAATTGCTAAGAGGGATTATTTACCAAAAAACGGCTTTTATACAAAGAGATGAGACGTCCAGGGTCAGGCTTGGTCGGCTTGTAAGCATCAAGCTTGTTTATTTCCTGGACGAGAGGTTATAATGTAATGAGGAATACACAGATATAATAAAAGATTGTTCAAATATTATTCCGGTGTATGAGAAGATAATGAATGAAGTACCTCGACCCAAGCGGCTAATTTTGGTCTGCCAGATGTAATATCGTATTTCCACACTTCATTCAGAAAGATTTGAAACCTCTCGATAAACGGAGCATAAGCAGCATCCACCTACAGAAGAAAAAAACAAAAAATTAATTGGAAAATGAATAAAGCTTAAGAAAA